GTTATTTCAAATTTTTTAGACTCATATTGATTTATTTTCCATTTTAAGTTCGCTAGTTGTAACAACATATTTGCTTTCATTGATAACATTTGATCTTCCTATAGTGGTTTGGGTTACCTCCGGTATCACAAACTCTCACACATAGAGAGCCCATGGGCACAACAATTATCAAACTTAGAACTTTCAAACTCAAAGATTTCGAGGTAAAATACAATTTCCCAAATTAGAATAGGACTAAGGTTAGGGTGGCTCCAATACCAAATGGTACCAGAGTTAACCTAAATCACAATAGGAAACGCAAATACTATTACTCAAAAGCAAATAGAGATTACAATCAAAAACCTGAAAATAGAAAATAACAACTGACACGACAAAAACACTCAACAAGAGTGAATCCAAAGTGGTGGAGGTCGGTGAGGATTAAGAAGATGGTGCGGGGGTGTAAAAGATGATTGGCAAGCACATAACAGCAAGGCAGTGGTTCCCCCGAGGCCAGACAACAAGTGGACAGTCGGAGGATGATGCATGAGGGTTGTCCGGGTTGATGGCAGCAAGAAGGAAGACTGGCAACGGCGGCGGCTGCAACGAGAACGCGGCTGGAAGCTAGCCGGCGACTGGCCAGCCAGTGGGGAAGGCTGCAAGAAAGGCGGGGAAAGGGGTATAAATCGATGGGGATGGCTGTTTGAGCTGCTTGGAGGATGGCAGCAAGGTTGGAAATGTTTTGAAAGTGATAGCAACGAGAATGGAGGGTCGAAAAGACAACGGGGGACGTGGTGGGTTGTCAGACAGCCATAAAAAAGCAGGCTTGAGCAGGGGCAACGAGGAAAAGGACTGGACAGCAAGGAAACTGCCAAACTATAGCAAAAAACTGTTGTCGGGGCTACCTGCAGCGAGGGAAAATGCAAGCCAGCAAAGTGGGAGAGATGTGGAGGGGATTAGAAAGATAATCACCACCTTAGAGTGAGATATAGCCGGAGCAACGTCAATCCTTTGGAAACAGCCCTCGAAAGAGAGAAAACGGAGGTCAACAGTTGCCTCAAACAAAGCCACAAAAAACTTACTTTCAAATCTTAATACAACGCATATATAAGAAAAAACTAAAAATGAATGAAAAACAATAGGAAATAAAGCATAAAAAAGGAAAAATGTTATTATTTCAGCGCGTCTCTCACAATAACTATTCTTGCGGTACTGCAGCAATTACAGTAACGCGGTAAGCTCTCGCATTCGATCTCCTCATCGTATGGCGTCAAGTCGGCCATGCTAAAAGTGGTTGTAATCTCCTAGTAAGTCAATCTTATTGGCCATAGCAATCCAAAGCACATCTTGATCGAATAAATATCCATCATGTTTTGGCATAATCATAACGGGAACTGTACGTGAATGGGTATCCTCACGAAGCATGCCTTGAGCCGTTAAATTTGTAATTGGATTCTTCCACTCTTCGTACTTGTCCGAGTGTACCTGATAAACAAGTATGTTAGGAGGAATTAAGTCTGGGACAAAATCTATTATAAATTGGGCAGCACTGAAGTATAACTTTCTTTCTCTGAAAGAACCTATATCCAATTGGAAATTTTTGTTCCGCATAAAGCTCCAAAGAAAATTTTCAAAGTCGTGGCTCATCCCTCTTGTCTAGACTTTTGATGGTGAGTACACTGTTGTACATAATCTAATATTTGAATAACTTCATACAATTTCCAAACATGGCACAAAAGAGCCTCATTCCTAGCATGATAGACCTCCCTCAGTAGGGGCAACTCATGAAGTAACCGATAGATCTTAAAATTCTGAATTTCCCTTATATGGGGTTACCATGCCTCGTGTACCAGTTCCTCGAACTCAAGATTGTCTCGGACAATCACTGTTAGTTCGGTCTGAATCTCTCTCATGGGTCCAACTGAAACTATGTGCATCTTTCCGTCATCAAATAAAGGTTGGTACTCCTTTGTGTTATCATCTTCTTAAGTGTATACTATGTCATTATCCCTTTCTTCAACAGCTCCATGGTTTAAAAAATATATCAATCCCCTGGTTTTGCAATCTGCTTCAATATACTCAAATCAATGACACCTGGAACACTTCCTGACTGGGATAGATTTGAAAATGCGGATTGGTGTTATTTGTTCTTCACTCTGAACTAATCTCTCCTCGGGCATGGTCAGCTTGGATGTTCCGCTGAGTGTGATCTGCCATAAGATCCTAGAGTTGAACCCTTTCTATAAAACATGGTAGTTGCCCAGTAATGTGGTCTCCACTTCTGAAGCTAGGGTTTGAACATTCAGTCTATAGTGAGCTAGTAGGAACTAGTGTTGCATCTCCCATTTTATCTTGGACCAAGTCGTAATATTATATTTTCCCTCACACTGGCATAGATGCTTCAAATTTTGCCACTAAAATAATGCACTCTCCTAAGCTAGCTGCATGCTAGCTTCACCATTACGTCGGATGGGACGTCCTAACAATATTGATAAGAACAAGGGTTTTATTGACAAAAAAGTGAGGATATAATTTTGCAACATAATTGAAATTAAAACGACCAAAAAGACAATGTTATAACATAACTTATTTTTTAACAGATAAACTCTATGGACTCAAAAATTGAGATAACATATGAAGATGGAATCATTTGTGTTTAAAGAGAGATTTTCCTTAAACATATATAAGCTTGTTGTATTTCAATCTGTCAATCACCTTCCTCAACTCCACCAGAAATTCACATGAGTTTGTAATGAATTTATTCATACATTTCATATCATAAGTAAGCTTATGAATTGAAATCAAATTGCAGTCCACCTATAGAGAATATAAAGTAGAGAAAAGAATAATATCGTGAGAAAGCTCCACATCTACTTTGCTAAAAAATTTTTAGTGTGATCCATCTGCAAGTCTGACTGATCTAGATGTAGAAGCCTCTTGGTAGTTGACTAGAGCATTGATGTATCAGGTCATGTGACAAGAAGCTCCGAAATCTATGAGCTAAGTTCTAAATATCTCAATATGTGCAAGATAAAAGAATGATGTATTATTTTGGCGTGTCACGAGGTTAGTGTACTATTCTGAACTACCTCCATGAAATTTTTTCAATACTCAAGTTGTTCATTATGAATGATCCAGTCGACAATTCAAATGTGGTAGCAACATTAGCCTTTTTCTCTTGATCTTTCCTATAATGTTCGAATTTCCAAAATGCAGGCTTTCCATGAAGTTTCAAATATTTATCTTTAAGATGCTCAATCTTCCTGCAATAGTCACATGTGTGCATGTGATGCAATTTTTCTTGGACTTTGAATTATGGGAAGAACTATGGGTGTATAGAGCCGAGATTTCAGTATTTGGGAAAACCCTATTTCTGGTCAACATCAACTTCTTCCTACCCTCTTCTCTCCTGACTCAGCAAAGGCTTCAAGATAGATGAAATATGTTTTATTCTCATGATCCTCTCTCTTCATCCAATTCCTGGTGGTTCTTTTCTTCTTAATGATGAAGTTATACATCACGGCATCATCTGGACATTTCCACACGTGTCTTAAACATATCCAATTACAGCCAATATTTGTCAAGATGTTTGAAGAATTGGGTGACACTTAGCTCTCATTGACGAAGATCATGAAGTTTTGTTTTTATCTCAAATAATATTGCAGTATTCTCAATGCTAGAATAAGTTTTTCTTGTAGCCATTCAATTTTTTTTTGAGAGTTTTGTAGAGAAAAAATTTTCTCCCACTTTAGTGGTCATTGAGTTGACTAGCCAAAGCATAACCATATGGTCGTGAATCTTCCATGTGCGGTGATTGGGATCAGTGAGCCGACGAAATGTGCCATCTCCCGTGAGATGTTCCTTTTTTTTTTACTAAAGATACACAAACATAGGTTGGGACTATTAAGGGAAGTTATGGTCATCGAGTTCACGATTTATGATAGTTAAAAAATTTATGAGTTTTTTTTAACATAATTTCTAATTTTTTATTTACAATTAACATATAGAGTAGAACTTGACATCTTCGCCCCATACTTCATAAACCTATGCACGTTTAGGATCAAAAACAACCAAATCATTGTGGGGTACCGACACAGGATCCTGATAGTTGGAAAACTGACGAAGGATTGCGCCCAGAAGCCAACAAAAGGGTCGAGAAGGATCGGTCACACCTGGAAAGAGAGATCATGAACAAATATCAGAGCATCTGGACGCAGGCTATGAGATCGCAGCTTACAATGACGTGAAACGAAGCGCTCGAACTGACGATTTTGATGCAGACAACAGTTTGGATGAATACAACGAGGTAGCATTTACGATTCACATTCATTGGGAAGCAGACAACGAGAGTTGATACAGTCGTGATTCCAACTGTTAGAAGGGTTAGACGACATTTGAAAAGGCTCAAGTGGCTATAGGAGCGAGCCGAGGAGGGCCTGCAAGCTGAAAGAGAGCTAGGGTACTTCCTCGCTTTGATACCATGTTGAAAATAAACTAGGAAAAAAAATTCTTGTTTTTTATTCACATGTAGGATACATATATATAGAGAAACTAATCCCTTCTAATTTACAAACTTACCAAATATATCTAGTCTAAATTAGAAAATGAAATAATTCTAAAATAAAAACAAAAGAAACATAAAATAATAAGGGAACTAAAACAAAGAAAGACCAAAATATCCCCAATCATATGTTTCCATGATTTTGTGAAGCATTCAGACAACCCACCATGGAGAGGAGCCGAACTTTTTAGCTTTCCATAAGATTCAGTAATGTGTTTCGTTGTGTCCTGCATAATCCGACAATTGTATCCCTAGAGTGTATCATAATTTTCGGAGTCCAAATTTACAATTATAATGTGTCAGACATGTGTAAGGACTGACCAAAATGAAAACAGTTACCATTCAGAAGTGACCATGCTTCAAATAATGGCAATGATAAAGACACAAATGGATGATAAAATTTTGCATTAAGGTAGGTTATATGTTTCCAATAGCCCAAGTAAGGATGCACAGACCATACCTTTGCATAAAATGATGCAGCTCTAAAGTATTCTTTTGAAGAAAACGCAGCATCAGCCTGCAGCAGAACTATTTGAGTATCTCTAGTGAAAAGGAGTCAAAATATATTATAGATGTCTTGTGAATGTCACATTACCTGCACTAAATATACTTGATCTCTCTGTAATGGAGACCGACAACTGGCTAATGCAGCTGCATAATCATTCATGTCTAAGAAAACTTTCCACATGTCTCGGCTTTCATCTAGAGTAGAAACCTGAGAATAGTCCATTAATTGTATTGGCAACTTTAGCCTCGCAAAATGAAAAACTCCAATGCATATAAGGTTCAAGGACATAAAAAAACCTGGAAAACAGAACTGTCATCATATGCGTAGAATAGTCCAGCAGTGGCATCACTGCATAATCCAATTATGCCTTTGGAAACAGAATCTGGAGCATGGTCAAATTTCAGTTCCTGAACAATTTGTTGACTAATTCTGTTGACAACCTGTACCATATACGGAATTCAGCTGGTCATAGTAATATCAAAATGCAGGGTGACAAATGGTTATTTAATCATCATCATGGTAGAATAAAAGATGGTGGAAGAAATCCTGTTTAGAATCAATTCTTGTCCGATAGTATAGCCCACTTATCAAAAGAATATTATGAGTCCAGGTTAGTAGATGTATTTCAATGAGTCAAGATTTATGACTGTGAGAAAAGGTATCAATGTGTAGAACAAAATTTCATCAATCCCCAAACCTGACAACAACAACAACAACAACAACAACAAAGCCTTAATCCCACTATGTGTGGTCGGCTATATGAATCATTTTTGTCCATTGCGTCCTATATAGTGTCATATTTTCATTTAGTTCTAGTAAATTAAGATCTTTTTTTATACAATAAGCCCAAGTTTTCCTAGGTGTACCTTCGCCTTTCTTAACACAAGTCGAATCTAAAACATCTACCCTCCTAATCGGATCATCATATGGTCTACTTTTGATGTGACCAAACCATCTAAGACGACTTTCTCTAATTTTGTCCGTCACAAGAGCTACACCAACCCTATCACGGATATATTCATTTCGCATTGTCTCTAAGTGTAAAGTCACTCATCCACCTAATCATTCTCATCTCGGCAACACTTAACTTATTATTATGCTTCTCTTTTAAATGCCAACATTCAGCGCCATATAGCATTGCAAGTCTCACATCCGTCTTAAAAAATTTTCCTTTCAGTCTAAGCGGTACTTTTCTATCACACAAAAGGCCCGAAGCATTCCTCCACTTCAACCAACCAACTTGAATTCTACTATTAACATCCTCATCTATATCACCATCGCTTTGAACAACGGACCCAAGATATCTAAATCGTTCACATCTTTTAATAATTTGATCACCCAAAGTCACACTTCTGTCACTAAAGCTAGTACTACTAAAATTACATTCCAGATATTCAGTTTTAGTTCTACTTAAATGAAGGCCTTTAGACTCCAATGTAGACCTCCATAATTCAAGTTTTTCCCGGGCTTTTTCTCTCGTTTTATCCACGAGAAGGATATCATCAGCAAAAAGCATACACCATCAAGCCAAAATAATGTTTCTGCAAAAATAATGTTGTGCATATGTTTGAGCAAAATACACAAAATAGATCTACTATTCTTTGATAATAAAACTGCTTTGCTGAAAACTCTGCCCATGTGAAAATTTTGATCACAAATTAAAAGCTGGCCGTCAACTTTGCTTGGCACCATTCAGTATAAGGAGCAGAATTAAGTAAACACATCGTTTTATGTAGGGCTGATCTGTCACTTCCAATTTTCTGCCTTCATAAGAAAAAAATTATCGTTTGTATCCATTACTAATGGTGGATATCAAAGAGAACTTGTACAGTGGCGTGACAAACTTGTGATGATTTATTAATTACCATGCAAAAAAGCAGAGCAAATTGCCCAAATTTTCTTGTAAATATATAATGCTTAATTCATAGAACAGAATATTTTCATACCAGAGAAAATTTATAAAAGTTAGAAAGCTTAAACTTATCGAAAACACAAGACTTGAGCATTGTGTTGTCAATGAGTTTGGTCTTATATTTTTAAAATACGTTGATGTAATAATCTTTAGGATGTTGGTGCTTAGATTTGTTCCCTAGTGTTTAATTATTTCGATAAATTTGGTATGCTGTTGCAAGTTTTATCACTCTTAGATGCCTTAATGGAACCAGATTTTATTCCAATATTCAAATTTTCAGTGCTTGGTTGGGTTCACCTATTTTCATTTCAATTACTATTTAAACACAATTTTAACAGGAAGTATTGTAGTTGGAATTGATATGAAAATGCTGTGACCGCTAACATAATTGGTCTTAAACAACTACTTATAACACAATTTTAACAGAAAGTATTGTAGTTGGAATTGATATGTAAATGCTGTGACCGCTAACATAATTGGTCTTAAACAACTACTTATAACACAATTTTAACAGAAAGTATTGTAGTTGGAATTGATATGTAAATGCTGTGACCGCTAACATAATTGGTCTTAAACATCTACTTATTACTTTCCTTCTATTGAAAACTTACGTTTGGAGGTTGTGGCTGCATTGTAGTCCATATGAATATTGTTGTTTTGTTCTATAGAAGGTGAAAACTTGCAAATCTTATTGGAATCCATATTTTGTTGAATTAAGACTGGTAATTTTTAATCAGGCGTACAAATATTCTGAGAAATTACTAATTACGGCCTTTTAAGGGACATTAATAGAACCCTTAAAAACCTGTGCTTTGGCATGAATTAGAAAATAAGAAGTTGCTATTTTTTCTCAAACTTGTGTGTGCTGGTTGCATACCAATTATTAGATTTTAGTGCATTCAACAACTATTTTCAAGTAATATAGCAACAGAAGGCCTAAATCATCAACTGACTTCTACTTTTGTTCTTTTCATCTAACTATTTCGTGATTGGTTTATCATGTGTGATTGAGGTTTTTTCAAATTTGTTATATATCGATTTCTCCTCTTTGCAGTGTAAATCCTAAATCATAGTGGTTTCCTTTTGTTCTCAGTTTTCTTGCAAAGTATCAGATTTTCATTGTAACACACAAAAGAATCAAAATAGATAAATTGTGTGTATTTTATAACATACCCAATTTAAGCATCCCCAAAATCCAACCAAACTATTTTTATAAAATTCTACATTTTATGTTGCTCAAATTGATATGTAGAAGAATAAGTTAATTATTAATATATTTGGTTTTATAAAATAAAATAACTAAAACAAAAAATTTAAATATTAATTATTTAATTAATACTATTAAACTCCATTGATCCCCCCTTACTCTCAGCACTGTAGCAAATCAGAAATTTCAACTTAGCATGCAACGAATGGATTTAATCAAAGTGTGAGGATTAAATTGATTTTAAATGAATTTCAATACACACTTAACCCTTTGTTTTACCAATCCCTTCTCTCTGGTCACCATACTGTTCCCCTCTCCGGCGTAGTGGAGCAGCGCGGGAGAGCTGCTGCTCTCAGTTGCTGATTTTGGGAAGAAGCCAGCAAGTTTTAAGGGAAAATTGAGGTGGTTGGGAATATATACATATACATATATATATATATATATTATTGTCTCCTTTATACATGTTCAAATGGGTATACTACACTACTTAGGCATACATTTTGAGTGGATACATGTAATTTTGAGATACTGTCCCTATCTTTTATATAATTTTTGTTTTTTTGGGTGGAGTTGTAATGTAGAAGAAGGAACCCCTAGAATCGTGGTAATTGTTGTATTTTTCTTTTTTGTAGTGGGGATCCTCATTCTCTAAATTATTTTGTAACCGTCTTTTAATATTAACGCGTAAGGAGCCATGAGTTGCTCTTTCCTTTTTATATATATATATATGAAATCCCTTGATTTAGAATTTTTCATTTATTTATATATGTATGCTAAGTTAAATTTCCATTTTAATACTTTGCCATAATCATGTCAAATGCAAAATTCATGTAGGTGGATTGTTTCATTTATGACCAAGAGGTTTTCCGCATCACATGCAACAATACATATGAAAACCAATTAGGATCAGCAATAATCGCAGGCATTCCAACATAGTTACATGAAAGAAAACCCTAACAAACCTTAAGGGTTGAAAAGATTGATGGAAAAATGATCAGACATACACATTAAACACCCTTTACTGATTTCAAAGTAGGACGCAAACAGAAATCAAATAATTTCCAACAAAATAACATGCCCTGGACACAATTATACAAGTATACACATACCTTGACTTTTTCTCCAATAAGAAGAAGAAAATGAAATTCAGATATTGCTAGAGACCTTGGTTTCATTGCTTCACCCAGCTTTTCATAGTTTAGTAAACCCTTGTTTTCCACAAAATTCTCATCTCCTCCACTTGAACTATTTAACGGAATTAAATAATTATAAATTGTTCAAGCACTCCAAAACATGTTAAATAGAAAGATGATGGCACTGCATAAATATGTTCCCAAGACTAAACTTATACAATGTGGTCAGTACAAAACACAACAACAGTATATAGCAGCAAGAAAATCATATACAAATGATACACCTGTGTTGGGCTCCAAAGTTCAGATCGCCATGATAGATTCCAGCACCAGAAAGCCAAGCAAAATGTTTGGCCCTTCTCTGCATGATGAAGAAATGTAGTTCACTGCAAAGCAAATGGAGAGCCATGTCAAGGAACTCAGCATATTTTGAATTTTACAAAATCCAGTAACAAGATAACATAAAGAATAAGCTTACTATAAAAAATGGTAGCAGTTCCAAAAGAGACACAAAAAAGAAAGAAAACAAAAAATTTAACCTTTACAAAGAGAACAAGGAGCCTCGTGTTTTGGCAAGGGTTCAAACCTCTGACTTCCGCTTGCGCAAACAAAAGGAAGATTGACCAAGTATTTTCCTATTTCAGTTGGATTACAGCATGGGTCGGCTTTAAAGATGCTCTTACTAGACATTTATAGGAGGATATTTCACTGATGATATCCTTCTTGTGGATAAAACTACAGAAAGAGTTCACGAAAAACTTGAATTACGAAGGTCTAAATTGGAGTATAAAGGCCATTGTTTCAGTAGAACTAAAACTAAATACATGGAATGTAATTTTAGTAGCAGTAGCTCTAGTGGCAAAATTATAAATATGGGTGATCAAATCATTAAAAGGTGTGAATGTTTTAGATATCTCAGATCTATTGTTCAAAATGATGGTGATATAGATGGGGATGTTATTAGTAGAATTTACGTTGGTTGGTTGAAGTGGGAGAATGATTCGGACCTATTTTGTGATAGAAAAGTACAACTTAAACTGAAAGGAAAATTTTATAAGATGGAGGAGAGACCTGCAATGCTCTATGACGCAAAATGTTGACCATTAAAAGAGAAGCAAAAAAACAAAGTTAAGTGTTGCTAAGATGAGATTGATTGGGTGGATAAGTGTCTCGACACTTACAGACAAAACGCAAAATGATAGAGTTGGTATAGCTCCAGTGACAGACAAGATTGGAGAGAGTCGTCTTAAATAGTTTGGTCACATTAAACGTCGACCATCTGATGATCCGGTTAGGAGAGTAGATGTTTTAGCTTTGACTGATGTTAAGAAAGGCAAAGGTAGATCTAAAGAGACTTGGGTATATTGTATAAAAAATGATTTTAATCTATTAGAATTAAATGAAAATATACACTCAATAGAATGCAATGGAGAAAAAGGATTCATGTAGCCGATCCCATTTAGTGGTATAAAGGTTTGTAATGGTTGTTGTTGATTATATTGTTCATTAAATTATGACTACTATTATATATAGTAGGTCAGAAGTTGCAAATCAAAAGATTGGTGATGGAATTAAGATATAACCCTTTCTTTGGCGGATTAATTCCCCCTTCTTTATTCTATTCAGGAGATTTTTATTCTTTAGTTTGCCTTCCTCCCATTTAATCATTTATTCATCACTTCTTACAATCTCCTCCTTCAATTTAGACCTTGGTTTATCTACATTGGTTCTTCCCTATTCAAAAATCAAGAACTACAACCTCCACTTTGCCTGCCCAAATCTTTGTCAATTGGCACAAATACTCAACTTCCTGAACTCAAAGAGCTATTCAGAAGAAATTAAGAAGTCTTGTGACTTTAACATTTCAAGATATCAGGCAACACCCTTTTTTTTCCAATCTCTTGGTCCCTAATTCCATTTGTCCTCTGCTTATGAGAACTTCCCTACAAATCAAATCTATATTTTGAAATCACAAGTTATTTTAATGGTTATTTTATTATATTTTATATGGTTCATCTTGCAAGCTCTTGCCATGTCCTCCTATCACTTCATTCAGTTAATTACATTTAGTAAATGTAAAAAAAAAGTAAAAAATCCAGAAATTTAAAATTCAATTATTATAATCCAAAAAAGGGCCATTTTTAATGGTAAATTTTAGAAAAGAAAAAGAGTTTTAAAAACTGGTTGATTTTCCATTCAAATTGAATTTTTCAATTTTCAAATCAAATTGAAATTTTAAATAAAAATCAATTTTGAAATTTGATTGCAACTACCTTATTGTTTATTCTGCTTTTTAAGCAATCATCATATCAGCATCTTCCATACTATACATCAAAAAATCCTTCATAATACCCTCAACAATATTCTACAATACTCCTTCACCAAAAACTCCAAATTTGTCCTCGGTTGACTTTCAGTTTGAAATTTGAAATCAATTTTAACATCGAAATTTGAATTTTAAAAATTCAAATTTGAAATCTAAATTCAGACTTCCATCCAATCTATTGTACTTTTACACCACAATTTTTGTTCCTTTCAACATGGCTATTCAAACATAGTTAACTTAAACAAACCTAGTTTAAATCCACCAATCAACGAGTTAAGCTAGCCCGTTTGATCCCTACCTAACACATTCCAATTGAATTTCAACCAATCCAAATTACTCAACCTACAATCCAATTGAATTTCAATCCAAATTACTCAACCTATAATCATGTAGACCTCAAAGCTTTTAGAGATATCTGTCTAGAATTGTCATAGTGCTCGAGAACTACAGCAATACCCTTCTATCTATATCTGCTAATGTTGGCAGTTGTTCTTTCCATTAGCACCTTTTTTATAGGGTGGAACTTGCTAGCTCAATATTATAATCAAAGACCTCAAATCATGCTCCAAAAAACATTTCAAACTCTTTATAATAAAACTTCTCATACTAGGAGAATTAGGCCTCGTTTGATAAGGCAGTGAAGCTCCATTTTGTTGAAGTGAACGTCGATGCTTGGATTTGTTTTCGTTGGTAAAACAGCGTCTCCCCAACTTGTTTAAGAAGAACGGCAATTTTTCACTATTTTAGATCACAGACGGAAATGTTCGTTCTGCAAACGTGACTTTTAAAGGAACTTTGCTAGACAACTAAGCTCCTTCAAACGACCCATTAATGTAGAGTGAATTGTCTACTTCAACCCTTAATCATAAGTGTGTTTTTAAATTTAGTAACTTATAGTGTTATGTTGATGTCAATATCGTTATTTCTTATTTTATAATATATTTTTATTATATAATCCATGAAATTATGACGAATATTATAAGCTATACTCAATGGTTTATAATTCATATGACTAATTTAGAAATAAAAGTTATAGCCTTTCTTTGGCATCCTCAACAATGATTAATTCCGCCATCTCTACTAGTAATGAGATTTTTTAATTCTCTCTTTCCCCTTGCCTTCACCATCTTGAAGCCTTTCATTTATCTCTTCTCTTAATCTTTTATATCTCCTTACCTAGAGAATGTTGTAAATAATTTTCTTTCCATTTCCAATAATCAAGGCATCAAACCCTTACAATAATCTCCGCTTCCACCACCACACTTTTCATCAAAAAAAGTCTTCAAGGAAAATAATATGAAAAGACCAGTAAAAGAAACACTCCTTAGGCATTTGAGCTAGCATATCTTTTGTAGCAAAAGATGGCAGCATATAGTTCTTTATTTACCAATCCGCCTACACCACAAAGATACATGGATCCCAAGTTGTTAAATACGAAAGCTTAGTTTAAACAATGTTGGATTTCATGAACACTAGCAATCTTGCAATTGTTATTATTAGACTCCATTGTATGGGATGTAATATATCTAATATATATAGGAGGCTCAATACTGCAGAAACCAATGATGATAAGTGAAAGTGATGTGAAAAATTGGAGGGAAGACAAATGAAATTAGAGGTAGTGCAAATATGAAATAGGAAGATGAGTTGATATTGCTTATGGTCTTAATAGACCAAGAAGAGTTTTGTGGATCAATAAACACAACCACAAAAGGTATTGAAATCAAGCCATAGTTTAATAATTTTTTAAACAATATAGAAGATAATTTTCAAAGGTAATCTAGACTCCAAAAAATGATTATGTTCAATTCTCTATCTCCCTATGTATTCTAGTCAAAGAGAAGTAGTGCATCACAGCCCAATATGTAGTGGAAAAGTCCTCAGTCATACTACAAATGGTTGGCATGGCTAATTTACTGAATATGAATTCTTCGCAATAAGAAGTGACAAAAAGGTAAGATAGCATTAAAAACATTGTTAAAGCTTAGATGATTTAAAAAATAAAATAAAATGGGCCATAAGGCAATGGGAACTCAAAATTGGGAGGGGGATGTCATGAGGATTAACATTGAATGAGAAAAGAGTTTAACAATATCCAAAATGAAAACATTCATATTGTTTATTCACGTTTGCAAAGGCAAGATCTATGGATCCATCTTAGTTGGTAAGAACAACATTTGAAGTTAGTGAAATTGGAAATGCTAATAATCTATTGGATCCATCTTAGTCCGTAGTAGTAGTGGTGGTGGTGGTAGCAGTAACAGCAACAGTAATGTTTGTATTAGTAATAATAATAGTAAATGCTCTGAGAGTAAAAAACAAGATGAATCATTTCTAAGACCGTCTTTAATAATAGCCATCAAAAGTAGTACTTGCCTATTTGGGATTTCACCAGGAAGCTCCATAAAGTGCACCGCACGATCTGAGTAGCTAGCAAACATTGTCTGCAAAAGATTAAATAGCATTGTTCACATAATACCACAATGATTGTAATCATCAATATTTGACTAAGATTAGATAGAGATATGAACAACATTTCAGAACTAAAATAGCATGTTCAATGCCCAAATATGAGTATTCAACATTAAAAATACTTTAAACCCAATTTGAATCTAAATAATAGAAAAAGTGAAGTACAATTTCTTGTTTGTGTACCATTACATTTTCAAATTTAAATGTGCGATCAAACATTTATTAAAATGTTTTTTTCCTAATATAATATTAAAGGGATCAAATAAAATTTAGCACCCCACAATAAACTTTGAAAAAAGATACCTGGTCATTCTTATGTCTGAAATCATATGGTGAAAGCAAAAAGAAAATAGTTATGATTTTGGTGTACATAATAAAATTCACATATACACACACACACACACACAAACAAGACATTATAATATACATAGACACACAAAGACACAAAATCAAACCACAATATAATACATACAGACATGAGTGTGTGAGCACACAACAGCAAGACAATATAATCAGTCCGAATTATGATTGGTAAAATTTAATTTCTCCAAACTTATACACATACATCTAATGCTCCAATGCCCGTGAACGAGTACAAACGTGTTGGTGTGACGGCCATGACATAATATCTCATAGTATTGCCAACAGAGGCGGTCTCCATCTAAAGGAAAAAAAACAAACAATGAGCATCAAGTTAATATATGTTGTACCAGTCAATTGAATCAAACCAATTTGGTCATTTCGCATCACCTGCAAGCCCATGATAGCTTCAGGTAGCTCAGTCAATTCAAATAAAAACTTTATATACTTCTCCTTCTTATCCCCTTCATCAACTGATATCTCATAAATCTGCCCGTTCTCAGTTCCAAGAATCACTTCACGAGTTGAGGCTTAACTCCCAAAAAATACAAACTATTCAAATACGTAATCCTTAAGCGAAGATCAAACACAGAACTAGAGTATACGAACACTCACACTCAGTGATCTGCTGCCGATTCCAAGCAACTGCGTTCACTACCAGGCCCTTCAGCCGGCTAAAAACCCTAGGTCTAGCCCACTTCGCGTGCGTATAATAAGTCTCCGCACTGCCGGTGTGGAGAACATTTGCAATACAATGGCTGCCGCCTGGATCAACAAAGACGCGGTGGACGGGCTGCTCCCCACCCCGGCCACCGGAGAAGTCCACATCTGGAATTGAAGATATCAACTATAATATATCCTTCGTAGGGATGCAGAAGCAAAGCAAGTTTAATTTTTTTCTAACCGTAGGAATCTCCAACACCGAAGTCGTGCCTAATAAGCCACCCCTTGCTAGTGCCAATAAGAACGACGTCATTTCCGGCGGCCATGCAGGTGATAAGGCCGTGCCCTTTGGCGCCATTCCGCTCAAGGAGGTCGACGGAAAATGCGTGACCGCCGGCGTCCATTTGCCTGAATGATCGGAGACTGCTAGAAACCAAAATCCTACCAAGAAGCAAAAATGACAACTTTAAACCATTTCCATAGATACAGATTCAGCCATGGTATTGAATGAGTAACTTCGATCCGCCAAATCTTACGAACTCCCCTCATCATCCTCACACCTCGCCATTCTCGTGTCGTGCCGAGCGCCCCTCGAAACTTTCTACTAAGCTAAATTATTAAAATAAAATCAGAGATACTTATTAGGAGGTGTTATTGTGTTCTATACATATATTATTTTGACTTATTCATGTGTTATTGATATGCTATTATATTGAGAATATTCTCAGAACACAATAATAAATTAATAATATATAATAACACTTGAATAGCACTGATAACGTGGGGAGAATATTCCCCTTGTTATGGGGCCGATTATTTTTTTTTCTGTCAACTCTACATGACGTGATTTCATTGGACTCTGCACGTAACTTTACATGTGGAGTTTTGATAGAATATTTTTTCTTCTACTAAGCGGTGTTTGTTAGAAAGCTATTTATCACGTTTAACGTAAATCTTAGCGAAACACTCGAAAAAAATAAAATTAAACTCAAAGCTCGATTAGCTTTAATTTTTTCACATTATGCTATTATCCTCCATAATTTTATAATTTTGATAAACTAAATTTGAATTTCATAAATCTGAATATGAAGTAGATTTATTTTTCTAATCGTAAGGGATTATAGATTTGTTGAATCTAAACTTACCAGATTTAATAAATTTTATTAATAGTAAATCTTAGATGTGGCTAAACGCCCCCTCAAATTGGGAGTACACAGGCCACACTGTACTCACCCATCTACATACCTGATTCTTATTGCATTTAAATACACCTAAAACTTTAGTTTTTACATTTACACCATCTAAAGGTTTCTTTGAGATAGTTGCCATTAAAAAGCTATTGTTACACAGAAGCTACCGTGAAGAAGGTGATTACCTATTAATTTTTTGTAGTTTTGCAGCAGTTGTTTCTGAACAAATGACATTTTTAACATTGTAGTGCAGTGTTGTTTATAAACAAAACCAATCATACTAGCACATTTCATACTTGAAAGCAAATAATATTTAATTTGAATGTTAAAAAATAAAATAGATACCTCACAACAATGAGTAACACAAAAATCAAAATAAAAAAAATATTAAAATAACAATTAATAATATAATAATATTATTTTTAATATGTAGTTAGTTAATGTTATGAGATAATTAGTACTCCAATAAAATTCTTCATGCATAATCACTATCGGCGGTGGAATGCTCAAATCGATCTATCAATCTAAAGAAGTCATGGTTCTCTGTTCTTTTCCTTGGGCACATGTAAAATTCTCTCATAGATATGTGGTTGTCTCAAAGTAGAGAATCTTGTAGTCCACGTAGCAGTACAATGCTTGGGAGGTACCAGAGGTACTTGAGATCATCTTTTCTGAAGGTTTAAAACTACAAATCACAAACCCTTAGATGCAATATTAGTAAAAAAATAATAGAAATATTAAATTCAAGTTTTACGAAACTTTGAGGTCTCAAAGAACAGTGTATAAATCAAAGAATTTGTCATTACAAGAAGACGCTAGACAGTAAAAAATATGGGTTCTTAGTTGCTTTTAAGCCACATGATATCGAGTTCATATGTGTTACATATGCATATTATTTTCATTCTCTCTCTTTTTTATTTTTAAAGGAGTCGCCAAGATGTTCATTATCATCTTTTTTCTTTAACAATAAGTCTCTGTTTCGGATCATGTGAATAATCAGGAGAAGAGAGGAATAAAAAAAGCAGGACATACGACAAAGACGGACAAACAAGAGAAAGAATATGGAAAACTTTTGTGCAGTAAACCTCGCAATGACAGGTCAAATATGTTCGCCTAAATAAGATTAGGCTAAAGCACCTTGACTAATATCCGTGAAAGAATACCTACGTAGACTATTCACAAGAAGAGATTTAGGTGAGTTTTTTTATTATGTGGTCTATACTGCTCCCAATGAAATGTATCTCGCTTAGTCAATTACATCTTAGGGGTTTCCAAAGAATACACTTGATTCAAAGGAGTTTTGCTTACATTAACTGTGACAACTAGCACAGAGTTATCAAATGATAGTTATTTCAGAGGGGAATGCTCCAATGCTTTCAAAGCTCCTACTAAGTCATGCGGCAAGGAGTGAGTCTCACACGATCCCCGCATGGGAATGCTCTGATGCTTTTAAATTACCCCAATTGCCCAAATACCCCCAAATCCTCATAACTACCAAAATACCCCCCTACACCATTCAAAATTACCAAAATACCCCTTATACCCTAGAAATTATCAAAACCCCCCAAATTCATTCCAAACTTCATCAAAACTAATTATAACCACCTAATGCACCCAATTGCATCCAAAATCCTTTAAAGCCACCAAAATTGCCCGAAATTCCCAAATTACCCCTAAATCCCTAAAGTCCCTAAAACACTCCGGATTCCCTCAAAATTCATTTCAAACTCACCCAATTTTGAATCCAAACTAAATATCATCATATTTAAGCACAATTTAAACCTAATTCAAGCCCAATTCCACCCAATTCCAAATCAAAAATCCAAGTCCAAAGTCAACTACCCCAAATTGACACCAAAGCCAAATTACACCAAATTAAGCTATATGATCATTTCAATTCCACAAAAATTATTTTCCAAATTCCTCATGACATTTTTCAATACCAATTTGAGCATTCAATTAGTTTATATCTAAGCCCAAATCAAGCCCAAACCCTAATTTTAAGGCTAATCCAAAATCTAACTCAAATCTTTTAATTTAATCAAACCCTAAATTTCCACGGCCATGCCTAAGACCCTGAGATGCTAATCACATCACCAAGTTAGCCCAAATCTTGTGTCACAAACCAAGGGTTTCTCAAATCATGGAAACCCCACCTAAATTTGGTTAAGTGACTCACCCATGCCATCATCTGATTAAATCTTAAAGCTAATCACCATTAAACCTTCGCCTAACCTCCCTGAGCTAGATAGCTACCACCCTTGGCCCGGTAGGCGACCCTAGTGGCTGGAAAACACAAAATGGAGAAGGGTGGTCGTGGCTCAAACCCAAATTCTCATCAATCTTGTGTGGCAAATCTCAATTGGTCAGTTGCGCCGTTCTCCTCTCCACCTCAGCTTATTTGCACCAGTCAATGACAACCCATAGCCTTCCCCTTGGCTAGAATTATAAGTAGCCCCCCTCCACGATCAAAATGGGAGACCATCCAAAACCTGGGGGAAACTCTGTCCAATTGCTCTTAGAGCCTCTCCCAGCATTCCTAAGTTCAATCCAACCATCTTCAGCCACCCATTCCCTCCACCCTAGCCCAATTTAACCACTGAAATCTAGGGTGTTTCACGGTGTTGGATTTGTACTCCTTAAAACTCTAAATTAATCATTCCACAAGCTTCCCCAAAAATCAAAACCAATTCCCCAATTGAATGCCCATCTCCCGGGCACTCTAACACAGTCCTAAACCTAGCCCGAGTCACCCACCGATCAAAATCATACATAACCCTTTCCTTAGCTCCAACCAACTCTTTGAGGTCGTTCGTGGACTTAAGGTGAAGCTCAGAAACAAACCCAATTGAGGCCTCCCCTCTTGGGCTAAGGTAAAATTCAAAATTCCAAAATTTGCTTCAGTTTGGACATTTATGAATATAACCTGTGTTTCATACATATTTAACCATATAGATATGTTCATCTCACTTATATGAAGTTGTAGGAACAAACTTCAAGTGATTTGGTTGAGAATTAAGTTGGATACTAAGATTAGAACGTAGACGATTCTCAGTTTAGGTGATCGGGGATGATGAACCGATGTTGTCCATTTCCACGTGTATCGAATGGACGGACCAAATCACATCGGACAGAAAGATGTTACGCGAACCGTGGGCATGCTAAAATGTAAAATGCAAGGAATCAGCGGGCGGCACGTGGTCTTTCTATGACATTGTGGTTGCGCTGGCGGCTGACGCAAATAAGTAGGAAATTATGATATTTTTGAATTAATAATTACAGAAAAATTAAAATTTCATATCTTGGTGTAGAAAAATTATTAAAAAAATACCTTTGTGCTCAGTTAACGGAGGAGAATTTATTCGACTAAAAATTAAAAATATTTATTGAGTATTTTATTTTAAATAAATTAAATACTACATAGAGTAATTAAATAATATTTAATTAAATAACTATCTAATTTAAAATTTGAGGTTCTATTCTTCATGAACTTAGGAGTTTTCACTAATTTTTTCAAGGTCACATGACACTTCTATGATCAAAAGCCCTAATTTTTAAGATATTTGGTATTATTTTAATTAAGAAAATTTTAACAAATTAAATAAAGGTTAGAAAATATAAAATCATGTTAGGTAGGTTTATTATGGTCAGAGAACCTTAGAAAAAAATAAAAATGTTAAAAAAAGATTGATTTTTTTCTCTTACTTAAAATTAATAAACATTACTAAAAATTAGAAAAATATAAAATAATTTAAATAAACACCAAAATGGGCCAAATTGTAGGTAATTGCATTAGGAGACCTCTGTAAAAATTTGAAAGTTAGAAAAATTGTTTTTAATATTAAAATCTATTTTCTAAGTAAATAATAATTTTGGCTTAAAATAATTATAAGAAATAAAAGAAAAATAAAAAAATCATGAAATTTAGTTTAGAGTACTCCTTGAGGCCAGAGAAACTTATGAAAAATCAAATTGGGGTTAAAATAAAAACTTCATTATTAAGCTATTTTCTAATTTTAAAATAATCAAAAATATAAAAAATTACCAAAAAAAAAAAGAAAATACGACAACTTATCCTAAATATCATCGTAACTATAGAGGATAATTTAATGATGTGTTTGTAAATTTCTAATGGTGTGAAAAGGTATTTTTAGTAATTGAATGCATTTTTCTTAATTTGTAAATAAAATAATTTAAAGAAATAAAATAAAAATCACAAACATATAAATTTTATTTCTTTGAGTTTCTTTAAGTGAGTGAGACTTATGAAAAATATTAAAATGAATTTTTGAAATAAAAATCTATATGTCAGGATGAAGGAACCATGGGATCTTAACCGGTGTCACTTAAATTAAAATTCCCCTGAAACTCTTAAACAACAGCAACAAGCAAAACCAAAACACGACACATTAAC